TTTTAAGATCTCAATGGCTGTTTTAAAGGGCTGTTATGGAAGTTAATGGCAGGAGTCATGCAGGTTTTAAAGCTCTTATTCTATGTACCTTGTGCTGGAACATCAGGAGGTTTTTCTTTAGAAGCAGCTGTTGAATACAGCTGCATTGGCTGGGTCACTGACTAAAGGTATCCTCCATCATGCACAATGGCTTTTAAGCACAGGTCTCGCAGCAACATATGTTGTAAAAAAGATTCTTAAGCAGTTCTGTGGTGGTGTGCCCACCCAAACGGTGCGGGGAGAAGAAACCTCAACTGATGAGTATTTGTATAAATTGCTTGCTGGGTTTCATGACCTGTAGATCCCAGAGCACTGGCTTGCTCCTTATATGAGCTGTGCTGAGGGTATGTATATCACTTTTTGCTTAGCAGCGTAATCATAGGATAGTTTGGGTTGGAAGGGACATTAAAGACCATCCAGTTCCAACCTCCCTGGCATGGGCAGGGACACCTTCCACTAGACCATGTTGCTCAAAGCCCCATCCAGCCTGGCCTTGAACACTGCCAGGGATGGGGCAGCCACAGCTTCTTTGGGCAACCTGTGCCAGTGCCTTGCCACCCTCACAGGAAAGAGCTTCTTCCTTATATCTGATCTAAATCTCCCCTCTTAATTTAAAGCCATTCCCCTTTGTCCTGTCACTACTTGCCCTTGTCAAGAAGTTCCTCTCCAGTATGGTCAAAAAACTTTTTTACCCTCCTTATCTTGGGTCATGAAGTCTGCTCCTTGAGCCCATTTGCCATTTATGCCTGGAAAACCGGCCTGTGTGTTTGCAAAAAGTCCATTCCAGTTGCATGCTCATAAACAGAGTCATAGAATCATTTAGGTTGGAAAGGACCTTTAAGATCATCCAGTCTAACCATAGGTGGAACACTGCCAAGTCCACCATTAAACCACATCCCTGAGTGCCACATCTACATAGATGCATAGTCTTAAATTTTTTGACTGTGAGTTGCATCCTTTGGATAACCTGAGTGGAGAATGCCATGAGAGTAGGGTCTTGCATGTCTGAAGCGTCACCAAAATTTACCTATTCTTTCGTATAGCTCTGAAATATGGATCCCATTTCCAGAGAAGTTCTGTGTGCACAAAGTCTAATATTATGTACTGTCTAGGGGAAACTGTAAGGATGAGGTTGAGATGATCTGAGGAAACCTGTAATGTTTCAACTGCTTTCTCTTTGCATTTTAATCCATCTTTGCCAAGCCTGCAGGCTGTTTGAGCTATCAGCATGCACACGTTTGTATTCACACCGTTGAAACAATCTCATTTGCTTTGCTGTTGTTTTTAACACTACCCCAGCCCTGGCCTCTGAAGCTTTTTGAAAATAACATTTACAATAATATTTTTAACAGTTCTGTAGTACACAAAACTCCAGCGCCCTGGCAGGACTCCCGGAAACTTGCTGAAAGTTAATGTGGTCAACTCTTAAAAAGGAGAGATTTTTTCCGCTTGACTCTTGCTTGTTAAACTCTTTGAGCCCAACATGTTGTTCCCTGCTGCTTGAAAAAACAAGGAAAGTCCCAATTTTAGCAATGCTAGTTTGAGTATTTCCAGCTGAGCCATATTTCAGGGGCAAGTGTGGCTTATTATTTTTTTACAGTGGTGTGTCCCTACACCTTCAAACCAAAGTGTTAAGTGGTGCTCAGGCAGGAATAAGTAGGTGCTGCTTTCCCTGGAAGGCTGGGGATTATAAACCGCAGAGGGAAGTGCCACTTGCTTGTGCTTGCAGTAGTGGCAAGATGTCCTGACTTGGAGGCCATATTTTATGTTGGATGCTGAGCTTCTGTAGCGTAAGAAAAGCCCTTGTTGAAATAGGTGATACTGTGAATCCCATTCCAAACCAGTAGTAGACTGCTGATGATTCTAGCTTTTGATGCTGCTCTGCACTTCTGACAGTTTTCTAATTCCCATCCTATATCCTTCCTCTCAGTAAGTCTCGTACAGCCACTTTCTTGTCTTTCCTGACACCTAGAGAAAAATTGTTCTTCTCCATCCTCTTCTCCCCAGCTTTTCTTTCTGCAACTTAGATGTGCAGAGGCTGGAGTCATGTTTAGCTGGGAAGAATGTTGCTGTTGTCCTCCTTGAATTTAGTCTTACTTAATCCCTTCCTAGCCAGGAGTATGGGTAGAAAAGGGGAAAGCTGGGCTTATTTTTTAAAATAGCTATTCATACTCTGCAGCCATGTAGCCATAATGAAATTGAGACTTTTCTGTTGCAGAATTGAGCTCAGCTTGATCAGATCAAATCTGCTTTCATTCTAGATGAGAGAGAGCGTCTATCCTGCAGGTTAAGTAACTTCCAGCAGTTTCCTGAGCAGACAGAAGAAGCCTCTTGCGCGCACAACACAAACCTGAAGTACCAGTACTGCTGCATCATCCCAGCATCCCTAGGAGATGACATGTTGCTGAGCTTCTTACTTTCATTGCTTGGTAGGAGGTGTTTGTACACAGCAGGGTTACCAGGGCAGTAGCTTGTAGATTGACAGTGGAGATTGAGAGTAGATGTACAGTACAGGCTGGTTTCACTAGATGTGGGAGCAGTGGAGTGCAAGGTGGTAGCCCTTTGTGTCAGATGCTCAGTGGTTTGTGTTGTAAACTGACAGCACTTGAAGGCTCTGATCAGGGAGCTGGGTGGGAGGAGAAGAGGGATGCTGCTTTGAAGTGCATTGGAGTAGAAAAAGGATTTTCTTCTTTTTCCTCTTATTTTTTACACACACACACACACACACACACACACACACACACACCCCCACCATTTTTAAGGGAGATAATATAAATGATAGAATTTGTACTAGAAACAGGAATTTGTCCTTCTGTAACAGGAAGCTGCTGGTATGTATTTTTGGGAAGCCATGGAAATCACCGGTGTTTGCAGTCCAATTTGAAGGCTGGCTCAGTCTCAGCATTTAAGAGATCTGCTAAAACAGAAACCCCCTTTTTCTCTCATTCGTCTGGGGAGATTTCCCCCACTGTGTGTGGGGGCTGGCTTGTCCAGGGAGAGCTGGGCAATGGGATCTCATGGGCTGGCTGTGGCAGAGGTGATGAAGAGCACAGGGTTGGGCTCTGCTGGTGGAAAGGTCACCTGTTTTTTCCAGGGCTCATTTGCTTTGTTCCTGCATGCATTTGGAGCTAGATATGGATTGCAAAGGTCTGGGAGGTCTCCACAAAGCTGTTGGAAAAGGCTATTACACTGATAGGGGTTTTAACCTGGGCTATCCCAGGAATTTAGGGTTAATCCAGGCTATCTGCATGTGGCCCTTGGAGCTAACTATGCACGCCGCTTAATTGCTGGAAGAGTTGCATTAATTTGGAAAGCAAAAGCAGTGGAGATTTGCACAGCTTCCTGCGCTTGTTATAATCATGTGGAATTTTACACTGCTTTCTTGGTGATTTTTCTGCTCTCTCTTGATTCAGTGTTGCAGGGACTGACTGGTTCCTTCTCCAGATAGGATTTTTAACCTTTAGAAGCCTGTTGGTTACTTCTTTGCTTCCTTCTTTGTCTTGAAAATGGACAGAGCAGAGTCTCTGGCAGCCATGGGCTCTTAGGCTAAACGGTGCTGAGAGGAAGCTGCAGGAGCAAAAGGAACAACGCACTTTAGGGCACATGTACGTCTCCGCCTCTGCGGCTTTCTTATCGCTTTCCCTTCCTGCTCGTCTCTCTCAAAATAGGTTGGATAAATATCCTCCTGCTTGCCAGCACCAAGGCATTGGAGCTGCAGAAAATCATTTTAATCTGTGCTTGAGATTATTCCTGTTTCAGTTCAGATTTGTAATTGTGCTCAAATTGATTTGACTGAGCTGCGAGATTTCCAAAGTGCCTTTTCCTACTGTTTCTGCCAAATGCATGGTAACACCCCAGAATTCATGTAGGTCTCCTGGCACGCACCGCTGTCATTGGCTTTGGGGCAATGTTGCTTGCAGTGACTGCAGGACAGGAATGCCTTTCTTACTCTCCCTGTGCAAGTCTGGCAAAGCACTTCAGATGTGTCTCCATTCATGTGTGCCATCACGCAGGTTTATGACCAAGAAATCTGCATGCTTGTTAGTCATCTGAAGTGGATTGTTTTTGCTGGTTGCTTCTATCACACTGCTGTTTAAGAGGTGCCTATCTGTAGGTGGGTTATGCCTTTGTTCAGTCTAAAAATGATGGGTTTTCACAAGTGACCAGGACTGACTCCAGCAGGCTCAGGTTTACACTCTTAAGTTTCTTGATGAACAAACCCTTTCTGGGCACATGCTGCTAAATGCAGGATGCCAGGTAACTGAACCCACTTTTGGGTTGGTTTGGGGCAGGTTAATGCATAGCCATGAGTAGCACTTGGCAACAGAAAGAGACTGGAAGGGCTGATAGGGATGTGCCTGCCATGAGGGAATGTGTGGGACATACATTGCTCCTGAGAGCTGCCTAGACTAGATTGTTTTTTTTTTTCCCATGCTGTCAGAGGAAAGCTGGTCCAGCCTTGAGGAGCCTTGGCTGGAATTTGGAAGGCCTAAATTTAGGTTTCTGCTTTGATACAAGCTGCCTCTGGGACTGGCTTTCCATGTCCTCCTGTCAGTCTGTTCTCCAAGTTACTTTATCCCATAGGGACTCCACAAAATGTAATGCGTTAAAGAGATGGCATTGCTTTAAGGTTAGTACAATAAAGTACATTAAATACTGTAAAAATACATTAAAAGTATAGTGTATTAAAGGTGGTCTGCTCTTAACAAAAGGAGACCTATGGCACAAGTGTAAGTTGTTTACTCCAAGATTTTAAAAGCATAAAGATACTGGGTTCATAGTGTGTTATCTTTGGGATGTGTAGAGGGGGCAGACTCTTGGCCTCAATTCCTAACTAAAAGGTTCTCTTCTTTCCTCCAGCCCAGGTGATGGTGGGGAAATGCTTTGTGAAAACTAGTCCTGTTCAGTCTGTCTCCATGTCAAAATTAATCTGTAACCTTTGTGTACGTTTGTTATTACAGGGTGGATGCTTGAGAGTGGAGGATAAGGTACAAGTGTCTGGGACCAGTGGAATGGAGGCCTGATGTAGATGGAAAGATGGGTAAGAACTGGATTCCCTTGAAGCAATTTTCTGCAGCTTGTTAGTTTTTGTTGGGGCTACCAAGTGTGTCAACAGAGTGAGAGGCATTGCCAAGATGGTCTGGCTGAATATTACATTGTATTTCAATATATTTTTCTTTGCCTTTTAGTAGCACCAAAATTGGGCAAATTCTCCTCTTATTGTCAGGGTGGTCTGGTGGGTCATGTTCTAGGTGGAGCCTCTTCCCAAGTCTGCCTTGTATTTCTGGGCAGAGTATCTTCATTCCCTGTATCTTTTCTCCCAAGGAAGCTTCTGTTTCAAACAGAGACTGAGTATGTTGCTTTTCTAATGGCTAACCTGGATTACTTGCACCTTCTCCCTCTTCCATTGGAGTAGTTGTGTATCAGGTGATATGTGGTGCTGAGGGAGACTTTATAAAGAAAGTGGAAATTGCTTACAGCCCTGGAGGTACATAATGATCCTGATCTTATCTCTACCACTAAAAAAAAAATAAATTCCTAAATCAGTACTACTTTAAAGTACTGAACTCCCTCATTTTTAGCATGTGAATAATCAGATCAGTGGTATTCTCACATGAGCAGGTGGTAAGTGTGAGAGTTGCAGCCCACCTTCAGCATCTCATACCATTGGCCATCAAACTCACCACATTAATTTGGCAAAATCATACCTTGCTTGTGGGAAAATGTCCATGCTGTGCTGCTGTGCTTGTAACCCATCACACAGGTGGGCACAGCAGCAGGGTCCTCCTGGTGTCTTCCCATCCCCAGTAAAGGACTTTCCAGGAGACGCATGCCTTACTGACAGCAGCAGTGCTGGGTTTGGGGTTCAGCCAGCGTTTCATGCATTTATGAGCATGGCAAAGTGTGAGAAAGCTCTTTACAGAGTGAACACTGACCACAGAAACAATTCCAAAGAGGTCTACAAGCCATTCTGTTAGCTAGTAGCAGTTCTAGCAACTGTAGGGTTTTCTGCTCCTTTTCTTTAATTTTGCTGAAAAGAGAAAGCTCAGTAAATTGAAGAACAAGGCCAGGTTCTACATCACATGGATGTCAGTGCTCAATGACCATGTGGAGCTAGTTGAGCTTGGATTGTCCTGTTCCCTTCACCAGAAGAAGTAGGTTCCAGAGGAGCCTAAATTTTTCTCCTGAAATGGCTTCCTGACCTGATGATCCAAGAAAGGAGAAGAGATCTTGGAGGAGTCCTGGTTGAAGCTGAGTATTTCACTTTTACATTGGCAGTATTGCCAACACAGTACTTGATTTATTTTTAAGAAGCAAAGTTCAGACTTGCTTTGAGCAGGGAATGAGTTGCTGGCTCCAGTCCAGCTCTCATCAGAGTTAATTTGTTGACAACTTACACAGAGAGTGTGGTTGGTACAAACTGCACAAGGTACCTTCGAACTGTCAACTGTAAACATAATGGAGAAGCACTGGGGAAGCAGTAATTTGTGGGAGTACTGTAGTGAAGAGAGCACCCTTTTGCAAGGCTCTGTAACTGTGTTTTGGGAAGGCAGGCTGGATCAATAGGAGTCTTGTGCAGATTTGCAGTTCTGCTTACACCTGTGTGTGAGCAAAAAGTGCTGTGCATGTCCCCTTCCCCAGATGTCCTTGCTCAGAGCATTGCTGTAGCTTGTCAGTAACAGCATCAATGCCTGTGCAGGGATCAGTTAGCTCTGTCAGGCTGCATTCAGAAAGGATCGTGGTGTGGTCCTGAGTCTCTGTATTGACTGTTGGGGTGAGATTGATGAAGTGACGTGTATCTTGATCAGTGTTACCAAGTGGTCTTTGTTAAAGGATCGTTGGAATAACTTTGCTGGCATACAGAAAATCAGGCTTAATTTTGAGGTTTTATTAAACATCCCCCCTCCCAACCCCCTTTTACGTGTGTGTTTCTTTCCTCTGCAATTGGGATAATGAAGCATTTTCAATGGAATTTGCAGTCGTGTCATAAATTCCATTCTGGTAGACCACAAAGGAGATGTGTTAGATGAAGTGATCTCTGATGGTCCGTTGCAGTTCTATCTTCCTAGGATTCTATTTATAGTCTGTGTAGTCTCGGAGTTCAGCATAGATCTGTTTATTCCTGGATGTGCTCTAGGGAAGCTGCAAGACCTTGTAGAGACCACAGGAAGGGAAGTGGGGACTTCTGCTGTCTCTGTGGGCTGCACCTCTGATATAGTAATTTGGTTGTGTCATGCAGTGCAGTGGTGCTTAGACTGGCCCTCTGCAGCCCCCGGCATCCTGGTGATGGCAGATAGGCTGCTCTGCTGTTGCAGGTCCAAGACAGTATCTCTACATGTGCCAGCTTGTGGCCAGCCTAAGCAGAGGTCCTTGTCACTGGGTCATCTTATCTTGTACAGACGTGGCCATGGCTGTGTCACTTAACCCTTATTAATTTTCTTACTGCTGTTTGTGAAGGACTTAGATGTGTCTCTGCAGGATATATCAGAGGGCTTAATTCTGGAGGGAAGAGCAACTGGATATAGCATAGGATCTAGGGACAGAATTGTTCTGGTCTTGCTTCATGATTTGGTCTCCAATAAATCACTTGAGTTCCCATTTAGTGTTGTCTTAAAACAGGATGTCCCTACCTCTCTAAGCTGTTCTATGCATATGTATGTATAACTCAAAAGTTTAGGTCTTTAGTCCTTTTGGGGGGTTAGTATGGCTTTTGCTTTAGCAGAAAGGTCATTTGAGGTGTAGGAGATGGGAGAATGATGCTTACTTACAGTATTGTCTTGAAAAAGTGCATGTGTTTGGAGAAGATGACCACAGGCTGGGCTGGCAGAAGGCACAGCAGCTCGTTGAAGGAGGATGGGGCCCGTTTGTAGTGCTGTAGTCTGGCCATTTAACCCATTCAGTGGGTTCTGGGGGGCTGTTGAAAAGGAGAGAACTGCCCCAGTTGGTGGAGGAGAACAAACCAACTCTCCCTATCCCCATGCTTGCAGGCACTGAAGTCTCAGCTCTCCCATGCCTTGTTTTCATCAGTCCTCAATCTACAGCAGTGATTTTGCTCTTCATTTGCTCCTTGCTCTTAACTTACTCTTTGCTTGTTGAGAGCTATTAAAAAAAATAGCATTTCAGGTTGAATAGCAGCAGTTTATCTTATAAAAGGCACCAGGCTTTCTAGCTCAGGATTTGTTATTTTTGAGGGATGTCCAAGTTCAGAGGTGTCTGTGTCTCCTCCGTGTCCTGGCACCATGCCAATTGCACCTAGGGCTTCTGTTTAGGGTCATCCCAGGTGCTTTGGGCACCTGGGGAATGTGGTACTGGACCTGCATTGCTGTATTTGGGATGCTACATGTATTGCTGCAGCAACAGGTTAGGAGTTCATGGGCTCTGGGCTGTGGCTTTGAGCACTGGCAGTAGCTGGGCTTGGAGGGAGAAAGAGGTCTTTATAAGCAATCAGGGGAAATAACTTGCCAGCTGTGTTTCTTGCTGGGTAAACAGTTTTCTCTTTTCAAGTGTGCTCAAGAGAGAGGTACAGGTTATGGGAAGAGGTAATACCTTTTATAAGACCAAACTGATAGAGATGGAAAATAACAGGCTTTTAGTTGCATAAGCCCTTTTTCAGAAGGAGCAAATTTTAAATTTGGCAGGAAAACAGGCTGGAAAAATTGTCCCAAGCTTAATTATGTCAGTCCATTAAAGGAACGGGTAGCTAGTGCCTGTGGAGTAAAGGGCGCAGGGTTAGCAAAAAAGGTGTGAATGTTTGTTGTGGGATGAAAGAGAGAGAAACCAGTATGTGGTACCTCTGAAGACAGGAGAAGTTTTGCAGGTAGATACGGGGGGAGAAAGCATCATGCCAGAAAACCAGAAAGTTTATTTTATTTTTTTTCATTTTTTATTATTTTATTTTATTTTTAATTTTTTAGATTTTCTCAGCAGAGCTACAAGCATACAAAATTTTCTCAAATGTGGCTAATTTTTCTTTTTAAGGATCTAGCCCCTGCTTGCAGCTCTCCCAGACTAATGTTAATCTGCAAAAACAATTAAGAAACAACAGGTTTGAACAAGGGCAGTGTTAAGGTCATGGTTAAACTCAGTGGGTCTTTTCCAAACTAAGCGATTCCATGATTCCAAGAGGCAGAGATGTAGCATGGCTTATCTTGCAGCATTCTGTGTTTTTATAGGGAAGCCCTGACTTTGGCTGCTGTATTCCTGTCTCTGCCTCTCGTTTTCCTCAGGGCGGAAACTGGGAGCCACCCAGTGTTGGAACCTGTTCAGGGCTGGGAAGCCTTTGGCAGCTGGAATGGTCAAGGCTGGGTTAAGTTTCTCTTTGGTGCTCTGCAGGGCAAATGCTTGCTCTTTGGCTAACAGAGAATTGCTTATTTTATCTTTGCTGTGCTTTAGATATCTCCATGAGCTTAGGTAGCAGGGTGCCAAGGTCTGCTCTCATTGTTCCCTGCACACCTTGAATGGGTTTGCAAACACCTGCCTGCTCCACAGCCAAGCTTAGGGGTGCTTGGAGGCAAAGAGGCTAACTTCATTAGCCAAGAAAACATGTTGTGGCCCATGTTTTGGCACTGCATGCATGGGTATGGACAAATTTCTCCACACAATGGCATAGTCTCTCCTGTTTTTCTTACAGGAAGCGGCAGCCCAGGGGTAGAGGGGCTGACGGGGGGCACTTGAGGCAGCATGGACAAAGCAGGTAGCAAGCTGGCAATTAGCTATGGAAGGTCACAGCACAGGGCTTGGGTGCTGGCCTTGCTTAGTTGACCAAGTATAAAAGTAGTCTAAGGAGTGCAGAGCTCATTAGACCTCCTCTTATGAGTCCCAGCCCTGTGTGGTGTGCTCAGTACTGGAGACTGTTCAAGGCTAGGCAGCATGCTGCCACCCTTTTGGCAGCAAAATAATACCTGCTAGGGGATGGAGAAGCATTTGAGGGTGACTTCTTGGAGAGAAGGTGGGTATGATTGGTACAACAGGGTCCTGTCCTGTCCAGCACGGTCTGGGGATGTGGCTGGGCCTCTGCACCTCATTGCGACCAGGGCTGCC